AGTTATCATAGCAAATGCTGTGGAAAGAGAAAAGGTATGTGTCTTTCTTGTTCATTCAAGCGTTGTTGTATATCGTTATCACTCACGAGGTAAGGGTGTTGACCTTTGTGATGACACGTATCCGACTCTTTTTGTTTTGAGATTTCTTATACAAATTTTTGTTTGAGAGATTAAAAAAAGATTTGTTTGTTTTTTATCTCTTTTGTAAATGTTCTGAGTTTTGCAGTCAAAAATTTATTTTCCGGAATATGATTTCGATCATCAAAAACTTACCATATCCTTCGAATTTTTTAATGTTAAAAGTGTTTTTGGTGGACCGAGCTACAGAGCATGTGTAGACTGATTCTCATAACCTGCTTCGCTTAAACACCTTATATTCAAATCATTTCATTTATCAGTTGAAGAACTACGTCATCATGGCCCACAATCGGGTATTTTAGATCAGTTAGAATGATGTATGAATATTAACGTTGGTAAAGGTAGATTGCAATCTATTTCTTTCAAGTCATCTTATGGATGAAGATATGTTTTGCGCGGACCAGAAAATTTCATTCATCGCTAATTCGATGCCTTCTTAGCTCATTTTATGGCTCTTAGATTCTTTTGATTCCTTGTCTACCGTGCTGCGAACAAAGCAGGTGGCCAAACGTTTTTTTTACGTCCCATATAAATTGAGTGATAGCTGGAACGAATAGTTTTTTACAAGCAACAATTGCTGGCACTTTTTATTTTATTTTTTTTACGATATCATATGACATATTCATAAAAAGTGAACCATGTGTACAAGGACGAAGCCAATTTTAGCCTAATGGGCAAGCGATGTCAAATGGCAAAACAGCAAATGGAACCACCTATGAGTCAACGAGAGACTCGAGTTTGCCAAAAGAAAGTGGGAACGATTCCAATAGGTACAGTTCTTGCTATGTTTTTTTTTTCTGTACTGTTCTTTGTCCATATACAGTCAAACTTTTCTTATAATCAGTTTAGCATTGATAACAAACTTCCTTCTCAATTCACATTTTTCAAATCCTTATCATTTTAGTGTTTCTTTGGAAGCGGATCGATTGCGTGCTGAAGTTATGCAATTAAAAACTGCAGAAGCAGATGCACGAATCCAGCTTTCCGTTAGTCAAAACAACGAAAAGCATGCAAGACAGGAAGCTATGCAGTTGCGCTCAAGGTTGGAGCAAATGGAAGCAAGGTAATATTACGTTCATCTCTGTTAGCGAAGTTTTCAAAAGTATTCCTGTTCAGGTACACAACTATGGAAAAACTCAGGGATGTAGATCGTAACTCTTTGTCACAGCTAGAGAAGAAATATGCTGAGCTTATGAACAGGAAGAATGACGTGGAGCGTGAATTAATGGACGAAAGAAAGGCGCGCAAGGAGGACGGTGGAAAGCGGTTGGTTTTCAAATTGTACCGTTTGCTCCATTTCACAATTCAAGTTCTTCATACTCATAGTGGATTGACTGAGCGTACACTCAAGGTTTGCAACAATGCTTTATTCGCTGACGTTTCAGCGCTTTTGCCTTCTTCAGAG